CACCTTTCTTGTTGGATGAAAGGGACACTTGTGTGAACGAAATGACAAAAATTGCCATCTAAGGTTTCCCTTAGATGCGCCACATTTAAGGATTGTTCTTGGGGTATGTGGCCTGGATGGGACCCCTGCCACTCAATTTGGGCTCTGTCCACTTGGGGCAGGATCTTAGACACCAGAGGTCCAGCAAGCCCCCAATCCTGACCGAAGGCCTTTCACTGCTCACCCACCCCCAACCCGCCCGAACGCATCGACGGGGTCCAAAGGCTCCAGCCGCAGGTGGCTGCGGGGGGGACGATCACGGTGATGTTCTCCTAAGGCCAGCAATTCGAGTCCCCTCCCCGCCGCTGGTGCGGTGACCCTGGTAGAAAAACCCACTTCCGATCGAGTGGATTGGCCAAGTGAACCAACTTTATTCTTGATATCTTCCCAAAGTTTCAAGTCGCAGGTACCAGGAGACACGAACGACACGACACTCAGCCGCGCATGGGGAAAACCAAAAAAAACAGGAAGCACCAGATTCCTGGTGTCTCAACAAGTCCCATGAGTTCTCAGGGTCCCTGGAACCCGGCTCAAAGCATTCCGACATGGAGAATAGGGAGGGGAGGCAGACTCATGGTGAACGGTTTGAATATTTCGTCCATCAGCTTCATTCTGCGGAAATAGTCAAAGTTAAAGTGACGCTAATCTGTTTGAGTGTCCGTAGTTCTAGCTTCAATCTTCTACTGTGAGACCTGGCACCATTCGGCCTTCGGCCAACCCCTGTCTCGGCCTCCACAACTTCAGGTCGGTCCAAGAACAGCCCTTCGTCCACCTGGCGACAGGACGGGGTACCAGTAACTGTCAACTGCGACACTGGGCAACCAGCAGGGAAACTATATTTAATTGAAAAACAAGTGAAAATCAGCAATGAAACTCATGGCATATCTAAGCACGTGGAAGATGTATGCATGTATATATATATATATATAAATATATGTATATATATATATATATTGTATTACACATGCATCAAGCAAACCGAGGCGATTCAAAGAACAAGCACATGGAGGCGCCACCATTCAAGACAAGGAGGGTACAAAGTAGTCAAGCCGTTCAGGCCCTTGAGGCTTTGGCCGTAACGGCGCGGTTCCTTGGGAAAACACAGGCAGAAACTGTACTGAGTTTACCCAACCCACTGTAACAAAACTGACTGGGGGGGGGGGGAAGGGGCAGCTGTACTTCTGGAAGACGATTCTACAAGGGACTTTCCGGTGGATTCCATCTTGGAAGGGCAGCTGCACTTCCCAGCCATGCCAGGGAATCCTGGTCTTTGTTCGATTCCCCCCAGCAAAAGCAAAGGCGGGGAAGCGGGATCAACCTGAGAGCCAGACGTTATCAACTTGCAAGGTTCAACCAGGGGACAAAGACTGCTCTCATAAAGAATCAGGGGCACTTGCATAAGGGATCTCAGGGTTTTGGGGAGTTATTTGTTGGACCCGCTTTAGTAAATCGGGCTCCTATGTTGTAGAATGCATTCTCCGGATTCGGGATCCTGGAACTGTTTTAGGGTCCCTGGCAAAAATGCAAAACGACAAAAAGGCAAGCCTTCTAGAGTAGAATTGGCAACGCAAGCTTAAGTACTCAGGGGATAAACTTGGAGCAGGGCCCAGGAGGTGCTTATCAAAGAGTGATTGTCTTTTGGATGCTTCCTGAGGAGCCCTTGCTTCCTTCGTCATCAAAAACGGGACACTGCGCATCAAACAAAACCCATTTCGCACCAGCTGGGATCTGGGAATGGGATAAAGCACATCCACCTGCCAACTGCAGGAGTTTGTCCACCCAGTGGCCCAAAAGCCCAAGTGGCCCAAAAATTAAGCGTCCGAAGTGGCCCCAGGCCCAAGCAGCTTACATGGAAGCCGAAGCGAGTGAATCACCCACCCACCCCCCCACCCCCAACCACCGCGCCCACCCCCACCACCCACCACCCTGGTGCCAGCAAAATCTCGTTTTGGACCAAACCCCATCCCCCAACCCCAGTCTGAGGAAAAAAAACACCGCGCCCGCCCGCCTCCAGCATGTGCCGACCGCCGGACAGCGGGCGTAACATACTGCCGGCCAGCTCTGGAGGGAGGTGACCTCACTCGGCTTTCATAGGGCTGTGGCTCACAAAATGGTACCTTGGTGTCCATGGAACCATGGACTAAAACCAAATGTACCTAACATGGCACCTTGGTTGGAACCAACGACTCCAACCCGAGTAAATTATAACCCTAGCTTGTTAATTTCGAGCCATGGTCAATGGAATTCCACCTTTATAGCCATTGCTTGGTCCAAACATCCAACTTGCGCCCGATTGGGAGGGAGATCGGGCACTCGAGATTTGCACCACGGCCCAGCCCCCATGTCCGGTAGGACCCAAGTTGTTCACGTGACCAGTAGAGTAAGTGCAAACAAGGCTCCCTAAATGTTACATGCCAAACTCAACTATGACACTTAAAGGAACAACACTGTAATGGGCTCAAAAGGCGTTTAAGACGACAGCGGGCCGCCTTTTCTCAACTCCTAACATGCTCGTCGTTTATGGCCCACGATACAGGCTGGAGGGTCAAACATACAAGGCCCTCGCCGCTTTACACAACTACGGAAGTGGAACACATGTCATTTTAAGATCATGGTAGACTTCCAACTTCTGTAACATGATTGTTAGACACAGGGTAGCCTCAATTTGCTTAATGCATAAAATATGTCCAGTTGTCATAGATTTCCGTATCAACCAACAGGACAACAAATATTCTGAAGCAACTAGAAGGTTAGTTGTCCCTTCCGGCCCTGGCATTGACCATTTTTCTTGGGGAGCCTAACAAACGAAGCAAGATCCTATTTGAGTGTGTTTGTTTAAAGGTTGGACCCCCCAAAATGGATTCCGCTTGTCCTCTTTAAACTCGGAAAAAAAGGGGTACCCTCAAACGACACAGTTTAGGGGAAACATGGGGGGGATAAACACTATGAAGTTTAACGTCAGGGCTTCTCCTGTTCAACCCGATCCGGGTACAAAAATAGCTGGAAAAGAAGAAACCAAAGGAAGCTCTTCAGCAGTTTTCCACCCAAGCAGGTCACAATCTTTTCAGCTGGGCTCCAACATAATAGAAGGAGCACCCTCAAAACAGGTCAGGAGGTCCATGCCCTTCCTGATGACGGTACATATTGCTCACATGGGGTCCGAACAGAAAACAAACGATCGACTTGCCCCTTACAGAAATCGCTGCATCTCTCTTCAAAAGACTGGTGGTTTCGATCGAAACTGTCACTTCTGGAAATGGAGGCAACCCTGGCAAAGATTACTCCAGGGTCTCAGGCAAACCCGATGATTCTACCTCAGCGTTTGCGCCCAACCAATAAAATTCAATAAAACGTATGTTTGATTCTGGCAACCATATCATCAGTTGCCTCCTCAGGTGGACGTCACTTCACATCCAGTGGATTTCCGCCCCCAGTTCACCCTTCCAGATCTTTTGGTCGCCGACCCACGTGGATGGTGGCCTTAAAGGGCATGGTTGGGTCCAAGCTCACCTGGCTGGATTCGAACACATGCCAGGATTCGAGCATTCCAATGGGTTCGGCAGGCGAATTGGTGAAGAAACCACACATAGCCAATATAAAAAGGGGACATGCCCCTTTTCCACATTGGTTTGAAGTTGGAAACAAAGAGAAGGCTTGGTTTAAACATCCGGACCTTTGTTGGGTTGGCCCAACCCCTAATGGATTTGGCTTGGGTCACGATCCAACCCCCAAAAAACACGCACTGGGTATGATTTTTCACTGGTGACCATTTGGCGGACAGGACTGACGCGGGGGGCTCCATCCACCAACCACTTTGTTGCAACTCATGAATCACATCCCGGCCTGTGGATTTTTTACATTATAGCACAACCGGGCAACCATTTTCGGCTGGCTACCGGGTAGTTGGTCTTCAAGCTCACCCGAAGCAGGTAGGTGTGTTGTCATCGTCTGTATTTACATCGTACATATCTTAAACATAGTTAATCTCTTCACACAACTGCTGGGCGTTCTTGGTTTCGAGGGCATCCCCTTTTCCAAATATGCTCGTGTTTTTTGAGCCCCAACCCCGAATATCCCCAAAACAAGTTTGATTTTGGCAGCCAGATTTAGTGAACCTGAAAGCCTTACAATGTAACACGAGTGAGACAAGACCCCAGGCATGGCATGGTCAGATCATAATCCATGCTGAGTGAACCAAAGGGCCCAGCGGCTGAGCAAGCTCCCGCTGCCATGCCCCAAATCTGGGATACACACAACAAGTCCTGGGGCTTCCTATGGATATGTGTCAAAGTACGTGGGGAACCAGCCACCAATCAAAAGGCACACCCCATTTCAGGCCCCTTTTCACAGGCCCTTTGGTTCTTGCGGGCCGAGGAAGAAGCCCACCTGATCCAAACAACTAGTTTCAACGCCTACGAAAAGTGAGTTTACAACTCAAGATGACTCTGAACAAGGAAGGTGTGCCCGCAAAAACATCTATAGACTTCTCTACAAGTGCATTGCTATTGTTGGATCACATGTGAGGGAGGTTCAAGCTCCCATGCTTGGACCCCGGTGCTTTTGTTCCCTTCTGAAGGGGGTCACAAGAGGGTGCAACAATCCCGTATTGAAACTACCCTCATACACGCCTCGGAAAGAAGCACGCATTCCCCAGGAAGATGTGTGAAATTTGGCTTGTCCCCCCTAATTTTGGGTTGTCCCCTACGTTCCCCAAACCAACAGTAGATTATCATGCAGTGCTGCCAGCCTCCCGCCCCACAAGCGACCATTTCTTTTGCGGGCGCGTTGGAACGCGTGGCCCAGCAGTTTTTTCCACACGTCAGGACAAGTTTCAGGTGAATGGCAGGCACCCTCTTACGATCCTCTGATTCGGATGGTAAAGGCCTTCATAAATCAAAAAAGCCATTCCTAGTGACCATAGTCATGAAAGGGAACCTTTCTGGGGCTTGACTGCTTTCTTCGCCAACGGTGACTGCCTGGCACCTGAAAATGTCCCTCACTGAACTCCAAGCGATTTCCAGAAACAAACAAGGGGCGCCCTTTTTCTCGATATTTAACTTTGAAGGGCACCCCCAAAAAAAGCTTGCACAAAGACGAAGCCCGCTGGACATCTGGGCTGCGATCCTGAGATCCGCGTGGCAAATCAAAGGTCCTGCGCCGGGAAACCCAGGTAGTAGCCAGTGCACTCGGCCGACACATCTTCGTCCTTCTCCACCTCGGGGTTCCTTGGTCGCGACCGACCAGGGTGCCCTGGTGCCCTGAGGCCAATCCTTCACTTCTTGAGATTGGCCGAAACACGTCTAACGTCTACACTGCTTACCAAAAAGGTCTTTCCCAGGAATAAAAGTCCCGAATTGCGCTGGCCACGTGGACATGTGGTTTATCCATGGCTGATCCTATAATCTACGTATGACAACGGGCACCGCTGGACCCTTGTGACTCACCGAACTGAGGCTTCACTCCTGGGGTCCTACGTGGCGAGCCCCATTGTAAAGACCAGCTGGTCCCCAACCCAGAACCTCCAGTGGCCATGGGAAAAAAAAGTCGGTTTTGTCTGCTTGTCAAGGGGCCCATCCCCTCAAATACAATAAAATCAAGAGAGCAGCACTGGAGGCCTGGAAAAAAGGGAAACTAGAGGGATCTCGAGGTTGGCGAAATCTTGAGGATCAGAGCTGCCCTGATTTCACCATGCTACTACTCCATGCTTATTTGAGTTAAGAGCAAACATGTCCGCAAATTCTAGTTGCAATAGTTCCGCCAAACCTTGTCTGAGGCTCGTGGCGCAAAGCGCCGGGTCTTTGTAGTTGGCAAAGAGCCCAAAGGCCCCGCTCTGCGACAAAGCGGAGGATGGCATGGAAGGCCGAAAATTTACCTTGCGAACGGCGAGCGAGGTCTGGTCCAGGGCTGAACTTGCAGGTGAGTAGGACAATGATTGGTTGCTTCCCCTGAAAAACAAAAAGGTTCCAGATCTAATTCGATGCTACTTCAGTTAGTGCTGTGTGGATCCTTTGCTGAAGTTAAAACTACTCAGGGAATATGGCTGGACACTTGATTAGACTGGCAAAAAAGAAGGACACCCACGCAAAAGCAACAAAAGAACTTGCAAAAAGTGACAACCTTTCCTGGTCACTGGAATTTACGGGAAACAGCAAACGAATGGAAACTCGAAAGGGCAGAGCGGTGCATGAAGTCTGGCGACGTCGAACAATCCCAGGCGATCCAGAAGAAAGCCTCCCCAATGAGTACAGGTGACGAACAAGACCTTGGCTTTCTCCGCTCGCAGCTTGTTGATGACATCCGCATACTGCTCTAAAGTGGCCATCTGCCTGGGCCAGGCAACGTGTTGGCTGAAAGGACATGAAGAAAAAAACCAAGAAGCCAGAACAACTCAAAAGGGCTAGTGCTGATGATGCTGCAAGTTGGGAGGGTCTGCCAGAACCAAGTCGAAATGGTTCGCCCACCTCTCATCAACGCCTTGTGCGCCTTCGCGATAGTCGAAGTACGCAAAGTTCTTTGCCTCCGCCCACCTCTGATCAAACTCGAACAAGACCACCTCCCGCCCTTCCTTGCTTGGATCTCAAATGTGGTTTCCCTTCAAACACCACCCCAAAAAGAGTGTCCAAAAAACACAAAGAAAAGGGTGCTCAAAGCAACGATCAAAGGAAGAAGCGCGGAGAAGACTTAGCCAGGTCGCTCCAAAGACCCTGGCGCAAGGGTAGCCTGCCGCCGGCTTCCGAACTTCCGCTTCCAGCGCAAAGTACAGCGAGGGTGCCGACAGCAGGGCGATGCGATTCACGTCGCGGCGCCGGCACTGCGCAAGCAAACACTCCAGGGTGCCAGGGCTGTACCAGAACTGCGCCAAAGCTTTGTCCTACTGGGCTGGGTGGGGACCCTCCGCACCAGACGCAAAAGCTTTATGAATACAGAGTGTGTAACTCAACAATAGTTTCCCTCGTGTGCTATCTGGGCCGACTAATTAGAATGGCGGTGGGGGGGGACTTTAATTATCTAGCCCCTTGCATTGTATTTTAAAAAACCTTGTAAATACCTCCTTTTTAGGCAAGGGGTTGACCTTGTCCTGGGAAGCCCACAACCCGTTGGTTTTAGTGTGTTTTCAGCTGAAACCCCGTGCGGTTTGGGTGGCACAACACAAACATATTCAATAGGGGCGGACCACACGAAACCTGCAGAAAGAGGGTTTGGGTTCCATACCTCCAGCTATCAGCTGATCGCGCACCCCGCTTTGGTGTACCGACCTGGTAACCCAGCCTAAAGTACTGGCCATGCCCGCCCCTTTTGTGCACCGCTCAGATATGCGTCTCATGGTTTTGAGCCGTTCGGGGTGTGCCCGCAGGGGCTCCAACGTCATAGGAAACGGAATGAGAACAGGTTGGTTATGTGTTGCCCATTTCGGTGGTTACCCTCAAGAGGGCCAAAAGAAATACAAACGGCCTTTCGTACTTCCCTCAAGATGGAATGCTTAATAATGCTTTTACTCGAAGAAACATCTACCAACAGAAAGTTTCAAGTGTGGCAGCCCAAGAGATAAGCCCTAACAACCGAAAAACCCACGTTCTTCAAATAACAGAGCACCTTTCAGAGTACAGTACCTAGAAAGAGGAGATTCACTGGGGACCCTTTGTAGGCTGCTGTGCGGAGTTGTTCCCAAAACCCCCAACGCCACCCAACAACCGGGCCAGGGGCGGGAGGGCAAGCAGGTCTCACTTGGAAAACCATGGCCCTCACCTCATCCCCCAGCGCGGCCATAGGCGCGCCCTTCAGATAGGTCCGCGTGCCATGACGGGGTCCAGCGAGAGGCAAACCGAAAGGGCCTTGTGATTATTTCTCACGGTTTCCGGAAGGGGGGGGGTCTGTGCCCCAACCATGCAGTTCCCTCAGCACAACCGATGGGATATAAAAGCATGTGCACCGGGCTATGTATGATATATATATATATACACATAATAAATATGTATTTGTCGATTTACTATATACTTGCGGCACGTAATTGCAGTGGCACGTCATGATTTGCGAGGCACTGACAGGCATTGCAAAGCAAAACACGTTGCAATCAATTGGGGTGCTTGTTGTGTCAGGGTGTTCGCTGTCGTCTTTTCAACCTTCAAGCCAGACCAGGTGTAGTGAAGTCTAAGCTTGCACTATCGCTAAATTTTCCGAACATGCGGTTTCCCTTGCAATCAGATTCCATGATGTGGCTGCAAAAATGGTTCTGGAGCGCTCCATCTGCACTCTCGGAGGTTCGGTGCAGCGGCATCAGCTGCCGTCTTCGAAGCCAAAGGTTGATCCGAGGACCCGCACCCCTGGGCCCTTTTTTATCCCCCTGTCTTGTTGAGGGTTGGGACCCCCATTTTATTGAAATAAAACGGGGGGGGGGGGGGGGGCTGGCCTTTTTTTCCAAAAATAAAATGGGGGTGCTAACCCTCCCAAAAGTTACCGAGTAGGGGACCCGCGAGAAGAAAAGGTTAGCCCCTCGGCGAAAATAAAATGGGTGTCGGGAAAGAGGTCGCAAATTGAAATGGCCACGGGGCTAACCGCAAAGGCCAACCCCTTTGGCCGGGCCTAAAATCTTCAGGGGCTAATCTTTCCCAAGCCTTACTCTCAGATTCACAATACTTAATGTTAGCCTTGCCAATTCTATACTTAGTATTGCCAAGACGCCTAGTTTAGCATTGCTAGTTCTCGATTGAAGATTTCCGAGGCGTATTCTCAGATTCCCAGTACTTAATTCAGTAATGCTAATTCTAAATCGAGACCTGCCAAACCATACTCTGAGATTCTCACTACTTCATTTAGTATTGCCACTGATAGTATAGCCAAGACTTGCTCTCAGATTCCCAACGCTTAAGAAAAGATAGCCAAGACTTTTAATTGAGTATTGCCAATTTGAAATTGAGTATTGCCAATCACCCAAACAAGTTTGACATTAAAGCGAACCACGAAACAGTCAAAACCACGAAACAACCAGATTCAACAAAATCAGGGCTTCATTGTGACTGTTTGGCCTCCATTTCTTGTATAAAGATGTTCGCTTACACTTCATGGCTTGGGGCCAACAAAAAACGAATTCCTAATGCTGCTTGCCCGGATTTGTTTGCCCGGATGGTTGTGTTATGCTGGCACCCCAATTACAAAAGCGTGTTCCACATCAGTGGTAATGGCAATAAGGGAATCTGGGGCTTTGGATGAGGGTGACAAATTGTACATGTACCTTGCCTCAGCGATTCCCACAAGTTCAGTGCTGCCAATACTACATTAAGAATTGCCACCACGTAGTCTCAGATTCCAATACTAAACTCGCAGTATAGCCAATCAGAGTTGATCTTCTAGATCCCGAAACTGCCAAGATTTACAAGATTTAGTAATGCCAATACTTTATCCTAAGTTCCGAAAACTAAATTCAGCGCTGCCAATACTAAACTTAGTATTGACAATACTGAATCTTAGGTTGACAATGCTAAATTCAGTATTGCCATTGCTAAACCTATCATTACCAATACTGAGTCCAATCTCTAATCCCTATGTTCGCCCAGGTTGCCAAGAACATGTGGGGTCACTATGACGAAGCACAAGCAAAAAAATACATGACTCACTTGACCAAAAATAAAATGGCTCCCTTGATCGAAAATAACATGGTAGGACCTAGCCTCCAAACCCAGAAGTCTGTACTAAACTATTTGGGGCTTGGGCTAGCCTCAAAGGCTTCCTACCTCAGGCGCAAATAAAAAGGGGTCGACACCAAATAAAATGAGCTAACCTACTCAGCCGAAAACCAGCCACTGAAAATATTCAAACACGGCAGGGGGACTTGTTTTTTTCATAGGATGAACATCAGCATCAGACGAATCAAGTCACCAAACAGTTGGTGCGAAGGGCCACACTTTGGTGGAAAGGCATCCTGGGACTTCGTCCCAAGGCTTGATTGCCTCGTGCTGGCTGTCTCACTGCAAATGCACGACGTACACCAGGGGTGTGTCTGCTTTTGAGGGTAGACCAATGTTGAAGGGAAACCACAGTATGATGCGGTTGAACATGCATAAACCGGGTTGAATTGCCCAACCCTAGCATGCAACCTGAGGGCAGGTACCTGGAAACCATTTCCCTCAACGGACCTTCGGGAAAGTTCCTGCGGCGAACCGGTGTGGCTCCCAAGACCCGACCCTCACAAGGGTACCCGGTACACGGAGGCCAAAACATAAATCAAACCAAAGCTCTAGATAGTTCAGAGCCATTCGCAGTTGATCCAGCATGAGCGAAAATCCTCTTCAGGATCTATTCCACACAGCCCTATCTATTCTATCAGAGTTTTGTCGTCGAATCCCTCGGGCGCACCCTTGCCGGGCAGCCAGACAAAGCCCGAGTTTGCGTCACACCAAGCCGCGATGCGCACGAAGCGCTGATTGAACTTCGCCCGCTCGTCGGTGTTCCGTGCCTTCATGACCCCGGCCGACAGCACCACACAGCAGGCCATCGCCGCCCCGAAGATCTCTACAATTTGCAGGTCGCCCCGTGCCGACCCGCTCGACCCAAAGCGAGGCTCGTCGCTGTCTGCCGCCAGCTCCAGGATTTCGGTCACCTTGCCGCCAAGGCAAATCCCGTTGATCGCGGCGAAGACCAAGAAGGGCGCCGCTCCCGTTCCCGCGAAGTAGCCGTAGAAGCCACAGATCAGCATGTAGGCAGCCCCGCAGATGAAGCCTAGGCATGGGACCAGGAGCCCGTCCGTGAACACGGCGATCCAGGCGCCAGCACAGCCCACGGCCAACAAGACCGCCTCTACCTTCGAGTAATGCGGGACACCCAGCAGCCCCCCCATGACCTCATCCATCTCGTAGATGAATCTCACACCAAAGGAGCCGAATGGATTGGAGGGAAGGTCGGCAAAGAGGTTTAGCACCGTGAAGAAGGCAAACATCAGCCCCAGCAGGACTGCTAGCACCAGGACCACCACAGAAAAGGCCTCCATCTTTCAACTGGGCTGAGCTTCTGATGGCTGCCACATGAGTGTGAGTCGGTGGGGTCTCCAGAGATACATCGTGCGGTCGCTTGCTGTGAGGAGTAGCCTCCTACGCTGCAAACTATACTATACACTATACTAGACTATACTATGCTTTACTACACCATACTATACCATACATAAGGCGCGGACGCTTTGCCTTTAGTCCCCAAAAAGAATCACTTGGGGCACGTTGAAAGGGACATGAGAGAGAGAGCGTGATGCGATGTCAGAAGACTGTCGGGCGCAAGAGGAATATTTGTTTTCTCATCGTGATGTGGGAAGGGACAAGCAGCCGATCGCAATGTCAGCTTTCCCATGTGTAGTATCAGCAGCAGTACGACAAAGCGTAGCATAGAACCTTGCGAACCAACTTGTGGGCACCGATCTTGACCAATGTGGGCACCATCTTGGTACATTAGAACAATCTTCGCCAAGCATAGAAGTACGGAACAGCATGAACCAATCTTGGCCAACTCCTGAAAAAGGATCCCTTTCACCCGTGCAACAGGCGAGGCGGGTGTCAGACGCCCTGCCGCACCTGGATGCGGGTGGTGTCCGTAACCGCGTCATCCACCGTGAGGCTCCACAAAGGCTCATCTGCCGGGTCCTGGCGGTCCAACTTGGATGTTCAACCTAAGTACGTAGGTTATCACCCGAGGTACAACCAAGGGTTGCAACTAGCAGCGGGTGGCTGACTTATAACTGTAGTTCTAACCTATTGACTAAGAAGTATGAACATCCAAACACGGTCCGGTCGGGCAGAATGGGTCACTCGAGATCTTGATAAAACAAAAAAACCGGAAAATCCCCAGGAGATTTCTACCCTTGTCCTGGCCGGCCAGCAGGCAAATGCCCGGAGGGTTCTGGAGGGTACTTTCTGATGTACTTAAGGATCCTGTAAGTGTTCCAAGTGGGTGTTTGGGTAGGGAGCTTTCCGCAAACACCCTTACACCCTCCCAAACAAAGGTTGCTACAAGCGTCCTAGAAAGGGTTCTTGCCGCATGGGTATAGCAAGGGGCTAAATAATTGCCTGCACTATTATCCTGTGATCATGACTGATTTGTCCTTTTTAAAATACCCCCCCCCAACCTCATTCTAATTGTTTAGAGGCGCTCATATTGGGAGTGACACACCCTTAGAGTAATCTCCTTTCAGAGTGCCCCCTTTTGGTTCCCCCTGCCTGAGGGTTTTTGGCGATGCAAGGGTCCCGTGTCGAAGCTGTATTGACAATGCTGTCGTAGAGCAGCTCGGTAACTCTGGATACCGCAAAGGCCTAAACACATGGGCAACACTGCATATAACCAGCTACCAGGAGAATACTCGGGTACCCAGAAAAGCACGCCACCCGAAAAACAGAGTCGCATCCCGACGACAAGGACCCTCAGAATTAGAAGCCCCCCCAAAGCAGCTCCGCTGTTTCGCACTGTGCACAAGCCATCGGGGGTGTCTGTTTTAAGATTCGACCCACAAAATTGTGGTTCGCCTGGTGGTGTTCCATCGAAACCACCAAAACAGGGGTCAAACAACCCCAATCATGTTCACAAGAGGATGAAAAGGCCGAACCAAAGAACAAACAACCTCTCTCTTACGCCCAAAGAACATGCTTGAAACCACTATAAGGAACTCCATTTCATTGCTGACCAACACGCGATGTTTAAAGATACCAGAAAGGAAATATAGGCTGACTGAGCCAACCCCGCTAAACAAAATGAAGCTCAACTTGTTCTCTGCCTTTAGTTTGGTATGTCCAAACGTTGCCAATTTTGGCCCAATCCCAGGGCACACCGAAAATAACAAAAGTTCGAACCATGTTTTATATTTAAGTTTGTCCACCCTAAAATACAGAACCTTTTGGAAAAAATACCCCAGAAACAAGGAGGGAACACTGCTGCATAATCCACTCCGGCAACGTTTTACCCACTGCGCCACCTCTGAAACACATGTGCCTGGTATTCACATGGTAATCTGAATGTTGTCTTATAATCCCAAAACCCAAAACAGAGGGTCCCAAGTAAAAGATCTACATGGTGAGCTCGTTTTTATGCAGGTAAGCTTTCCATACCATAAGCACACTAATACCAGCCTCGTTCGATGATCTGAGCTCGGCTAGTTCATGGATCGTGTAAGGCATCGAATTCAAGTTCTGCGAGGTCTGTTTTTCTTTTTGTCAAAGGGCGTGGGGCTGCGTTGCGGAGGTCCCCACAGCGTAGGGATCCTTACATTTTTGGCTGTGCGTCAAGTCAGCTTAAGTTGGGCCAACCCCGGTGCAACCAGGCTTAAAAACACCCAGTGTTGAAACAACTTGTGTTGGTTCCCCATTTGAACGTGAACAAGGTTTGCCCCGCCCTGGCTTGCAGTGGCAGCTGTCCAAACTGATGCGTCCCCAGAAAAGCCTCAAACCGGCAAAAGTCAGAACTCCGATTTACCCGAGTCCAGGTCTAGAGCTTAGGCCTTGGCTCACCTGTTTGATAAGATATGCACACAACTCTTCGGAACAAATACTGGTCTATGCTAGTTTACTTCATCTGCCAAGAGAGCAAGAACGCGTGGTGATGATTGCAAAGTGAGCATTTGTGCAGAAGGGTGGCCAGCGATGTGTGAACTTTCTTGCGGCATTGGTGCTCAGTTGAGCGCAAACTGAGCAGCACATCATGGAATCAACTGGCTCGCTTCCCAAAAGGAGAACTTCCACAATGGGTGATTTCTTTTAATATCCACAGGGTACCAGCTCAAAACAAGACACACTGAACTGGAGAAAGGAAAAGAACACAAATAAATCTGCATTTGTAACACAACAAGGTTGACGGAATGAACAAAACAAATAGAGCGGATGCCCCTAAATTGTGCAAGTAATGCGTTTACCAATGTGACAGTCAACATTCAACCTAAGGTTGTACAGCGGATAGCCTACAAATATGATAATATGGGGTGGTGCACTGCGACCCTCCCATTCCAAAAGGTACAAGCTTTCGCGTCCCAGAGGGGATCTGTGCGCGACAACATGTTTTCTGCGGGGAGGGGGGGCAAGTCGCAAGCCTCGGTCTGAAGGGTAGCCCCAGCGGCAATCAGGCATCCACCCAGCGTTCAATCATGTCTCTACCTTGGAATGGAAATCGAAACCTCACCGGCTGGTTTTGGTTCTCCACAAAAATCAGCCCAGGGTTTCCGCCCGAGTTTTAATACATTCTTGCCAGGATGCTCCTATCGGGCAAACCTGATTCTTGATCCGTGACATGCCTGCAATCTTGCCCAAGTGTCTCAATAACCTCCTTTTGGTTTCAACCCTCGTCCCTCGTAACTACGATTTGGGCTCGGTGACTTATCCTCTCGTCTCAAGCCCTCAGCCCTCTGCCAGGCCTTGAGGGTGATGGTGTGGCCGCCTCATGTCGGGCGGAAAGCAGATTCGCCAGATGGCTGTTCCCTTTGTGCGGATATGGGTCAAAACTAAACCACCAGGGGACCCCGGGTTTTAGTCCATGTGTCTATTTGCCAGCGTTCCATTTTGGGTACAATTTTTGGCCCACGGCCATGTCGGAAAGTAAGGACAGTTGACTCAAGATAAATGAGGGAAAGGCGCCATCAATTCTCAGCAAACCGTACAGGGAAACCACGAGACATGTACCCCTACTTCCAACTTTGACGGATTCAACCATACTTGCCCCTTCCATCCATTGCTTCGGAGGCACGGATGAGCCTATTGACCCGCACGTTTAGTAACACATGGATCTCCAAGTACGGGACCTACGTCATGGGCGAGCTCGTTCAACCATGGAATTCCTTCCCCCTGCCCCCGTCCCACCTTGCTCCTCTCCCCGTGGTTTCCCCCCAAAAAGAGGACCCCAATATTGGTAATCCCTTCATATCCGGATGATATTATGCTAATGAAATGAAATTCTGCCAATGTGCAGGTGGGGAGAAGCCCCTCTTCCAAGTCTGGATGGAAAAGGCATCGAGCCAAACTTTCTTGCAACTTGACCAAACCAGTTCTTCCAGTTAAACCAAGATTTCTTACCTCTAGGCTCTACATGATGGTTTCTTCAATTCCTGGGTGGACAAAACAGGCCAAGTGTGCCGCTAAACTGGCCAAACCCAAAACGTGACTAAAGGCCAGGCACTCAGGACCCGAGCTCCATTTGTTGCCTACTATCCATTGAGCGGTCGCCTGGCAATACGGCAACTCCGTAATCCCAAACGAGATTCTGTTAGAAGGGAATTAATGGGGTGAGCGGCAAATGGGGTGAGGCCCGAGGATGAAAACGACAAGAAAACACCGCAAACACCCGTGTTTCGCCGGAAAAGCACTTGCTTTCCTTCCGGCGCTGAAGGTAATTGTCTCCAGGGCTTGCTGGCTTGCTGGCTAGCTTGCTTGCTTGTGTTTGGTTGCTGTGCTGCGCACAAAGCGGTCAAGCCATTTATTGCTGCATGCATTCATGAGGGCACGTTTAGTGTACAAAGCAACACGTTTCTGTGTCGTGGCGTTGATTAGGCTGTTCTATTATAGTAGTAGCAGCAGCAGCAGTAGTAGTAGTAGTAGTAGTCGTTATAGTAGTAGTAGTAGTAGTAGTAGTAGTAGTAGTAGTAGTAGTAGTAGTAGTAGTAGTAGTAGTAGTACTATTAGTAGTAGTAGTAGTAGTAGTCGTAATAATAGTCGTAGTAGGAGTAGTAGCACTAGTAGTCGTAGTAGCAATAGTAGCAGTAGCAGTAGTAGTAGTAGTAGTAGTAGTAGTAGTAGTAGTAGTAGTAGTAGTAGTAGTAGTGTTTGGGCTACATGGGCCAGCTGTTTGGGACCAGCGTTTGGGGGCGTTTGGGACCATGTGTTTGGTTTGGGACCATGGCTTGGGACCCAATGTTTCGACCTGGCACCATAAAACCTTGGGACCCATATAGCTGTTTGGTGGGTATTTGGGATGTTTGGGGACCAAGGGTGTTTGGGACCCAGTTTGGGACCATGGGTGTTTGGGACCAAGTGTGTGGGTTTTGCAACCACTGTTTGGAT